TTAGAAGAAAAAATTAACCATTATTTACCTGACATATAAGTTGATTTGTACGACTGGATTCGAAATCCTTTTATAGAGACAACATCAGAAATAAGTTCAGTCTTGCAGAAGCCGAAGAATTGATTGATATACATAACGATCGTACGTTAAGATTGAAGCATTCAGAAATGAGTCTGAATTCATTTTGGATAACAATTATGAAGGAATATCCCAATATAAGATTCAAAGCACTTAATATTTTATTGCAGTTTTCCACATCGTATCTCTGTGAAGTGGGATTCTCTACACTCGTAAATATTAAAACAAAGAAGAGAGAAAGACTTGAAAATTAGATGAAGATATGTCTCTCAAAAACACGACCTAATATCAAGGAAATATACAAACACCATCAGGCGCATACTTCACATTAAGTTCACATTTTATCACCAAATACCTTTATAATAATAACTTTTGTTTTGAATGATTTTGTGTTGTTTGGAAATAAACTTACTTTAAAAATCTTTTATTTTTTTTCAAAGACTTCTCATCCTTCATATCTTTACTAACCGTAAAAAAGCAAAAAAAAAAGTTAGAAAAAGAAAAAAAAAATAATAATAGTGGTGCCGTGAATTTTGTTTAATAATTTCAATGTGCCACCAGACAAAAAAGTTTGAGAAACACTGCCTTACAGTGACAAGCTTTTATCTTCAGGAACACATTATCTGAGACGGACCACAGCACCTCTAGCGAAACGTATCGAGCGAAGTAGTAACCAAGAAGACTAACACGTGTTAACACAAAAACTAGGAAAGAAGCTATGTTTGTTTTGTTCAAATCAAAATTTAAGCTGTAATAATCCATTTTGAAACTTATAAGAAAATTACTTTGATTATATTCGAACGAAAGATAATTTTTAGACTATTTTCACACTTTTCACTTTTTTTATATACAGTAATTTGAAAGAAATGAGATGATGATAAACAATTACTTTCTTCCAGTATGTTTTCTTTATCGAGATGTATAGACACTACTTTGTCTTCCTTTACTTCAATTAAACACATATATACAACACTGGAACATATGCCAAATAGGTTTGGTTATTTTAAAAAAATTCTTTCAAAATAATAATATAAATATAGGAATCAATTTGCTGAATTATTGTATAAATTATACATTGATAAATTTAATAGTATTAGTTGTCTATAAAATTTTAATATAATTCCCAAGTGTTAAAAATAAATAAAATGATTGAATTTATTGAATTAATTATTACGGAGGTCGGATGGCCGAGCAGTCAAGGTGGCAGCCCACCGCTCCAGGGGACCCGGGATCGAAACCGAACTGGTCAAGGAATTCCCAAGAACCTTTCGGACGGTGGACCGTTCGGCTATGTAGGGGCCCCACTGTGGGCCTGCTATAAGAGGTCCTCCTAGTGCCCACAAGGCGGAAAGAGTAAAGAAAAAATAATAATGATAAATTGATAGAAAATAATTTTTCTGGAAGTTCATAATTCTAAACTTATTTTAATAGATACAGTAAATATTTTTCTTTTTTTATCATAACAAGTGTAAGTTAATTTGAAATTTTGACTTACTAAAGAAGCACAAATTTATTAAATACATTAATTATAAAACAAAACAATCAGTACAATAATACAATATAGTAATCAATACAACACACTAATTAAGATCTATAAGATAATCAGCAATTTGCTTTTCTGACAACAGAAAAAGTTAAAATGAACGGAAATGCAAATTAGGAAAAAGCATTAAATTGATGGAAATTTAACATTGTTTCAATGAGCTTCGCTGAGAACAAAAAATAAAAAACACAATATAAAATAATGAAGAGACGAGAAATTACTGGAAAACAGTGCTTTTCCACCTTTTTGATATTAATAAGTATGTAAGAATTCATAAGATACTTCACTGAAAGAAATCAAAGGCTTGCATATCAAAGAAATCAAGGCAAGAAATCAAAGGCTTGAAGTAAAATAATATACATTTTCAATTTTAATGAATAACATTAGTGTTTGTTTGAAAATAATACAGTAGAGCATCGATTATCCGACTCCCGATTAACCGACCGTTCTAGTCGGCAAATTTCAAATGTCCGCTAGTGATGTGGCCTTACAATATTTGGCTGTCTTGGCTATTTTAATATTATTTTTGTTAAATTTTTGCGTGTTTTAGCTGGCAACACTGGCTCGACCATGAAAGGGAGGCCAGTTTTTAAACGAGACTACAGTGGCTAGAAAATATAGTGTCGAAATCGAGCTTATTTTCTGTCCCTATATTGGAGGTTGCCGCAAGAGGCGCTGCTGTCAATCGTTGTGCTACACTGGCTGTATCATCCTATGTTTATATTGGTTTTAAGTGGGATTTTTAAGCATAGTAAATGTGCTGTAGCCAAGTAAAAGAATTTAGATCGATAATAAATCATATCACTAGCAATCAATTATTATATAGTATTACTTTATTAACATTTATGAAGGAATTCATTTTATTAAAGCTAATTAAGATTCTTATTAAATCAAATAGCCTACACTGTATTGTCTATTTTTACATTACAGCTGTTGAGTGCTGTACAAACAAGTATTATTTAGAGTACAAGAGTAATCTACTCTTGTT